GCTGTCTTGTGGTTTCGATGTTTTTGAAACAAGCTCTTGTGTTGAAAACCTGGTTTTGTTTGGAAACGATGGTCATACGACGAAGAGCTGTGAACCCCCAATGGAAGGGTAGTCTACTGTTTGTCTACTGTTGTCTACTGAGTCTACTTCGTCCTTGCTCCTAGTAGCGATGGCCTCCACCCTAGTAGCGATGGCCTCCACCCTAGTAGCGTCCTTGCTTCTTTGTTACTACTGGTAAGGCACTTGTTCCTAGTAGCGATGCACTTGTTCCTAGTAGCACTATTACTGTTTCACTTTAAGTAGAAGGAAGTTGTGTGCTGTGTGGAGATGCCCACGTGGCCCTGCGTGGCCCCTGCCTGGCGTCGGCTGAGGTTCAAGCACATCAAGTGCACGACCGAACGAATGAGGAACGATGTCCATCAATCTGAGGCCGACCCTGAAGTGGAGAAAACGAAGACTATGTGAGAACCATTTCAATTCGTTTGTGAGAACCAATTTCAGATCAGTTCAAACGCCTCTCATCCTCTCACTCCGAATTACTTGGTTCCAAAGAGCTGCGAATGTCTTCGGCTTGATATTCTGAAGAGGGCGCTTCTGGCGACGAGTTGAGATGGCTACACTCCTCACCCCTAGATCGAAGACCAAAGGCAATTTGCTAGACTTAAAGCATCACTAGCCCGAACTCTCACCAAGGTTTCAATAACAAGAAGCTGGTAGGTTGGAGGCCATTACTACTACTTAACAAGAAGCTACTAGTATTTCGTTCTGAAGTTTGAGAAATCCATGCCAAACATCCAATCTGACTTTTGGAAGGGAAGTGAAGCGCACGTGTCTTCGTCAATAAAACCAAACACGCACGACCACCACCAAAGGAAGGGTTTTGTCTGCGACAGTTTGAGTCAATATATAAAGACTGGTGTTCAATACTTGTGCGAAAAGACGTTGTAGGTTTGTGCGGTGAAGAGTTGAAGACATATCAACTCTGCTTTGGAAGCGTCCCACTCTGAAAACTCCCGAACAGTCCCCATGGCCAGGGGTTGATGTGGTAGAAAGGCAGTGATTCCTTCGAACTCAGAATGACCAGGTTTTTGCAAAATCCTCGCATAACTTGTCACCGCGAAACCAAGCGGACCGAAGTGGTCTGTGATTAGAAGGCCCACTTGGGCTTGCCTCCAATCGGGACACTTGCGCTCTTCGACTTTGGACTTAGCCACCCACCAGGAACGATAGCACGATCGCGTGTTAATGTTTCGTTGATCATTGCAAGAGGATAACATGTTCTGAATGTGGGAGTCGGACGAACAGGTTTAGATCGAGCGATGCTTCTAAGATGTTTGTGAAATGTGTAGCAAATCAACGTTTCACACAATGATGGACACAATTCCTTTAGAAACTAGCAGTGGTGTTAACCTTAGCTGGTGAATAATTCTTTGAAGATGATCATCGACACATATCAAAATGATTTAGTCGTCAGTAGTCACAAGAGGTAGCGGACTCATGGTCTTTCATTGATCCATGCCCTTGCATCAAATATTTCATTTGTCGAAGAACAGACCTCAGCGCGGTGTGTGGAACGAAGCATCATCCACGAGAAATCTCGTGAGAAATTATGCCTGCCCAGCGTGTCTAAGACATGCTTGGATTTTCGATGGCATCGTCCTTCAAATGAAAAGGAAGGTGGAATACATGGTCGATTTCATGGGAACAATTCCAAATGAGGGTCGGGATTCAAATGAATTTGCTATTCAGAAATTGCCAGGTAAAAATAGCTGGACTATGCCAACGAAATAAAAAATAGAAATTAAATCCGACAGAAATATTATGAATCAATAATAATCTTCGTTGGATATCGTTTTTAAAAATGATTTGATTGCAAAACCGATAGGGATCTATTTAGCATCGATACTTTTTTAACATGAAGTATACGTGCAAAAAAATTAATAGAATTTTAAAATACGTATTTGTCGTTTTGGCAGTTTTATATTTGGTATTTGATTTTAATAAAAAGGATTCGAAATAATAGTATTATTTTGATATTTTTAAATTTTAAATATTTATATTTAATATATTTTTTAATTTGGGTGATTTTAATATTCGTTTTATATTAGATTAAATTAATATATAATTTATATTTTAAATTAATGTATATATTTGGGAAATTTTTTTTATTTGTAATTAAGTAATTTATGATATTATGCGTTAATTTGCATTGAATTATTTTTATTTAAAGGATTATTTTTTTGTTTATTATTTATTATTTGTTGATTTGGTTGGGACCGATTGTTATGGATGGAAAGAATTTATGGAAATGATTTTTTTCGTTTGAAATTTTATACCTTCGATACTTTTGATGGGTTAAAAAGCACTATGAAGAAATATATTCGGATGTTTATATGTTATTTGAGATACGAGATTGCGAAATTCGGGAGTCGAAATAATTACGAATTTCGAATCCGAAATAAAAACCGAGATTCGAGGTGCGAAATTTTAATTTCGACGTCCGAGCTTTTTAATTGGAAATTCGATAGCAATTCGATAGCTTGAAACGAGGCGGTAGCGGTAGCTAAGAGCGAAATTATGAGGGAAGATAAACTTGGGAGATAAGATGGCGGTGGTAGCGAAGAGCGAAAACAACAAGGGAGATTAGCTTGGGGACAAGGTGGTAGCGGCAACCCAGAGCGAACATATAAAGGGAAACGACGTTGGGAAACAAGGCGGTAGCGGCAACCAAAAGCGAAATCACGAAGCGGGAATCTAGAGCGAAAACATACGAAATCATGAAGGGAAACAAATTTGGAGACAAGGCGATAACGGCAACCAAAAACGAAATCATAAAGGAAAACAAATTTGGAAGAGAAGCCGGCAGCGGCAACCAAGAGCGAAATCATGAAGGAAGACAAGCTTGGGAGATAACTCGGCAGCCAAGAGCGAAATTATGAAGGGAAATAAATTTGAGAGATAAGACGGAAACGGCAATCAAAAGCGAAATCGTGAAGGGAGACATAACGAAGAAACAAGATATTGCGGCAGCCAAGAACGAAGGCACGAAAGGAAATAACCTTGGGAGATAAGATGGCAGTGGCAATCAAAAGGGAAATCATAAAGGGAAACAAGCTGGAGAAATAAGATGGCAACGGCAAGCAAGAGCGAAAACATTAAGGAAGACAAATTTAGGAGACAAGATGGCAACGGCAATCAAAAGGGAAATCATGGAGGGATACAAATTTGGGAAACAAGGCGGCAACGGCAGCCAATTTCCGCAATCCGGAACCCATTCAATCCGGAACCCATCCAACTATCTGGGGAAAAAAAGATCTTCGATGAATCTTTTAAGGACCATGCCATATCTTTGGATTTATCGGGACCAATTCTTACCCAAACCGCAAGCTACGGAATTTTGATAGGCGGCGTCGCCAAAATTGGGCAATGCCAAATTAGTACATAACCCTATTTATATTTTTCCGATACCAATATATAATAGGACAATAGAATAGGGCAATTGCATACCAAATATGCCTATAATATCGAATATATTTTGGAAATAGAAGAAAAAAAATTAATATTTCCGCAATATAATAAGGATGACGAACGAATCACAACATCCACAAAGATAAATTACGAGATCCGTAAAATCACAATAAATATACAATAATGGAAAAATTAAGTCTACAACAAGCCATGGAAGGCGGCGGCTCTTAAAAGGCATTACGATGTTAATAGGCGTTCGTAATAGCGGACAAAATCGGCGTTCGTAATAGCGGACAAAATCACCGAGCAAAATACGCAAGAAAAGCGCCGAGAACAATTCAAATTAGCGATTCACCTATTCTCTCGGCCAAGGATTTTCAAGATTATTCGTTAATTTATAGATAAAATAATAAAAGATTTTCTACGAATTTATATAGTTATTCCGATCGTTCCGACAATCGATAATTACAAAAAAATAATCGCAATATTCCAATAATTATGAATATATTATCCGTCGTTCATTTTATCAATATTTTTGTAATCTTTATAGAAATTACAAATAAACATTGCTATGCAAATCGTAATATCAAATATTAAATATATTTTTTTTATTACAATACAAAATATAAATCATTTCAATGCATTTTCCATCCGCACGACCTATTAATTCCATAAATATATAAAATATATATATAAATTATCTAATATTATCCTATTCCTTTTCCAACCTATATATCTTTTATTCTCTTCCCCCATAAATATTCATTATTAAAAACAACGATTTAATTCCAAATCTATATATCAAAAAATATTTATATATATAATATATATTCAATAAATAGAATCTATATATATATATATTCGTTTATTTCAAAAATATATTTATCTAAAATTCAAATTCCTTTACTAAAATTCATTTTTATTATTATATAAATCAATTAAAATAATTACGACAATGAATTCATTTTTTCCTTAAAAACATTATTTATTTTCAACAATTTATCGAATTTACATCTATATTTCACCAAACGATTTATTGTTAGGGATTTTCAATTCTTTCTTAAGATATGTCCGCCCTTTGTGTCACTGCTGGTATCCAGGTCTGTCACTGCTGGGGTTTGTCCTTTTCCGTTGACCATGCAATATTTCTCTTCATTTATCTCCCAGGTCTATCGCTGTTGGTGTCCGCCCTTTTGCGCTAGCCATGTAGCATTTCTATTCATTTTTTTCCCAAATCTATCGCTATTGGTGTCCGCCCTTTTGCGCTAACCACGTAGCATTTCTTTTCATTTGTCTCCCAGCTATCGGTGCTGGTATCCGCCCTTTCGTGTGGCTTACGTAACATTTCTATTCATTTGTCTCCCAAATCTGTCACTGCTGATGTCCTAACATTTCTATTCATTTGTTTCCCACATTTGTCGCTGCTGGTGTCCGCCCTTGTCCGCTATAGCTAGCCATATAGCATTTCTATTCATTTGTTTCCCAGATCTATCATTGCTAGTGTCCGCCCTTTTCCGTTGGCCATAATACATTTCTTCCATGCATTTATTTCCCAGGTCTATCATTGATAGTGTCCGCCCTTTTCCGTTGGTTATATAACACTTGAGGCCGAGGGCAGGTGACGAAAGCTAGCAGGGATGCATCCGGATTGGTGGGACATCAAGCGGAATGAGGCAAATGCTTATGAGGTAAAACGTTGTGAATATGTAAGACACACAAATAACAATGACACAGCCAACCTTAGAATTAAAATCCCCGATAATTAAGGAACCGTGGCTGGATTTTCTGTTCGATGCATCCGATGTGTTTATGAATCTATAAGCTTGTTGAATTTGTTACACCGTATCCCTGTGGATGCCAGAAGAGGTGCCCAAGAGGTGTCCCAGAAGCAAAACAAAGCTGCTTGCATGATTTGTTTGGTTTCTTCTATCGATGTCAATGTCATAAATATATAAGCTTGTTGAATCTGTTGCAGCGTATCCCGGAGGAATTAAACCAAAATGGATGCCCGAGAGCTATCCCAAA